TATAATAAATATGTCAAAGATTGTATACTTTTCGTTTTTGTTGTCTATATTTTAATCTATAGAAATATTTTTTTTTCAAATTGATTTTTATCCTTCACTGACATTTTTTCCTTTTCCGGGACTAATCAAATATCCGGACGGACAGAAAGGCAGGGAATATTAAAATGAAATATTTATTGCAAATTTGACTTGCTGACATGCTAAAAGAATAAATAAATAAATAAATAATCAAGTTAAAATAAATTGATCTGTGATTTTAGAAGCATGTCGGTGCCGATCACTCTCGTTGACATATAAAAACTAATAAAAGTCAATAACGTTATAAAAAAAGACTTTGATTAATGGGCATGTGAGAAGCAAATATTATATATTTATTAATATAAAATTGATATCGCTGATTTTATATAAATAGAATGTTATTGCTTATGAGAACGAAACTTTTATTTCAACCATGTTAAGAATTAAAGACAACAGCTTTAGGTGTATGTCACTGGTTATACAGATAAGCTTACCATGGCCTGAACATGGGAGCAACTGGGCAATTTTAACGAAAAGATTAATAGAAAATAATTCAAAATTAAATCCAGAAAAAGAAAGTTAACATTTCTGTGGCATATTTTGAAGAAATTGTTCTTAAAAAGGATGAAAAGAGGTAAACATCACGTAACCTACTTCATGAGTTTGTATGAATGCTTAAGAAATTGCAAAGATTAAAACGGTATTTGACCTAAAAAGGATAAGATGTTATGGGAAAACATGATCACCCACTGTCCTGGAGGTGTATGTTTCATTAAAGGCGACATCACCTCCGATTTGTAATGTCAAAATAAATACGGAACTGAATTAATTTATCAATGTGACATCCGTTACAAAAATACATGAACTAAATAAAACGATTGATTATACGAGAGTTTAATACTAGGACACAAAACATACAAAAATAAATTTTGGATTTTATATCTCGTTTTCAAAATATTCTCCTTCTTATTTTTATCTTGGTCATTCATTTGAAATATACCCTCCAAAATTCTTAGCTTATTTGGTAGGTTATTGAAAGTGTTTCTTACACATCAACATCATCATCGGAGAACCAATGTCCTGTGAGTGATATTCGTGTTGTGCAGCCCCGAAATTGCTTGAGAAGAAAGCTATAAAAAGTATGCCAAACTAGAGTAACATATAATATTTTTGTGCAAAATGTAAAGATTCGGCTTTCCTACCAAATCCAAGATTTTGTGCCAAACACAATCTTAGCAATCCTCGAAAATAGGCGCGACTTAAAAAAAGACGGCCACTGCGTAGGAATAACACATTTATTTACAATTACAAATTTGAAAAATACAAAACAAGGTTTGTACAAAAATTTCCATTTGTGCGCCTCTTTGAGTAGAAAAGCAATTTGAGATAATAAAAAGATTACACTCAAAAACATGAACAAATACAAGTCACTTAAAATGTTGATAAAACCAACGGAATCTTATATAAAATATATCCATTCAAAAATACAAAAATAAGGGAAACACCGGAGTAAGATACTTCAAAATATGGTATAAGGCATAATCTTTTAAATGTCACCAAACTCCGTTGTAATGGCTTTGTAAAGAACATCACAGATCAAAGTGAATTTGGCGTAGACAAATTCTTGTAGGTGCTGGGGTGTGACATTTGTCATACGAATCTGCCTTAGACATCAGATTTATAACCTCTAACTGGACTGTCTTTTTATGTGATGTTTTGTAAAACTTTCCCCGGTCAAAGTTGACGCTCTAACGTTTTCTTTTCACCTCTCGTCTCCTTTTCCAATTGTTGATAGCAATCCTTTTTATTCTTAATGGGGTCATAAAATTCGGCTTCAGCCTAAATTTTTAGGTGCTGGAAAAAAACTTGATTTTCATTGGACAATATATTTAAACTCTTCTTCTGAAAGTGTAGACACTTAGAAGGCTTCTTATGGCTAGTAAAGGGTGTTCCAATATCTGGGATCGATTTTAATCTGAATTAAGCTTAAGCTTTTAATGATTTTATTTCTTTTTCTTTCAGATTTGGAGGACATTCGGGCGATATTATTTTTCATACATAATTGCTATGACGTAAATAACAAGATCTAATAGAGAAATAAATATATGTTAACCAATAACACTGATTTATTTACCGCTGATTTTGATCCGTCTTAATGAAACACCCTTTAAAAGTAACGATAATCAATGAGTTTCTTGAAATATTATATTTTATTGTTACGATGAAATGAATCGTAATAATTTTAGAAATAATTCAGAAATATATTTCACCTATTATCACATATCTTAGAAGTGTAATTAATAAATTTTATTTCTTCAGACAAAATAAACAAAAAATCTCTCCGAAAACCAAAAGCGGATATTTGTATTTATTAAAACATCAAATCCGACTCTTTATTTTTCTTAGGTCGGCTTCAGCTACAAATCCTTCTATCACACATTTCAGGTTTGTTAATATCGCACTAAACACTCAATAAACACATTGGGATTGTGAAACTATAAATCTGGCACGAATTACACATACATGAATCGAATGCTGATTATTTCCAGCGAAATAAAAATGAAAGTTTTATGTTTAGTGTTTGTTAAGTTATATAATATAAACAAAGACAAAAGGAAAATTTATCTTAGTCGACGCGTTTCGTCCTCTGAGGGATTTCGTCAAAGCATATATCTTATTTAATAGAGTTTCTAATTTTGCGATAGAAGAAAACATGATAATAGAATAGCTCGAGCATCTTGAGGCAATTCTGATTGCAAACCTGGTTAGACGTGAGTATAACAAATAGACTCCATAAAATTTTACTTGTTACGAAAACCACGCGGATAAATTGTAGCGAGTTGAAGTGAAGGCTCTCTACTCCTCAGGGGTAGAAAAATACACGCACACACAAACACACACGCACATACACACTCGCACACACACACACACACACACACACACACACACACACACACACACACACACATATATATATATATATATATATATATATATATATATATATATATATATGCATCTCTATACATATATTATGCACTGTTACATTACCACTACAAACTGTACATCTTGTTTCAAAAAAATAACGTTTCTTCAGGTGGAAATTACGATACTACTAAAACATTTTATTCCGAAATACATTTAACGATGCACATCTGCCGCTTCCGTCTTTGCAATATTTCCCATAAAATAGCTTAGTGGTGGATTCTCTGTCTGACGCTAAATCGGTCCAGGTTCGATATAGGCTTGAAGCAGTTGGATGTCTAGTCACACTGGTTAGCTGTGATACAGCGAAACAGGCTGATATATATATATATATATATATATATATATATATATATATATATATAAAAGGAAATATGTTGTAGTGGTTCCAACGAGAGAAAAGTATGTATATTAAAAAGAGAGGGGTGCCGCAAACGTTTTTGGTTGTAATGTGGATTTATTGAGAAAAATATTATACTTTGTTTTACATAATTTCACCACAATAAACAGAATGTCTCATATCGAGAATATTCCACATTGAACATGAAGAAAAATTAATTATTTTTAATAATATGTAAAAATCTCCACTTTCACCTGAAGACGGTTGCGAGACCAGACCAGAAACACGTGTCGTGAAATTATGTAAAACAAAGTATAATATTTTTTCTCAATAAATCCACATTACAACCAAAAACGTTTGCGGCACCCCTCTTCTTTTTAATATATATATATATATATATTTCAGAGCTCTTAAGCTAATTTTAGTTTAATGTACATAATAACTTCAGTCGGTACATGTTCGTAAATTACATATATCTAAAATAAAATTTACCATTAAAAATGGCAGAAAATTTAATTAAATATTTTACTAAGGTTGTATAAGAACGATTTTAAATTTGACAAATATTGGTTCTGAACTTTTTAAGTTATTGATGTTTAATTTTATTTTTTTTATAACTTCAGACAGGCTGTATATCATAAATTGGCAATATTTGCAAGAAAAGAACATTTACAATTATTACATATATGCCAGTTTTATTTTTCTAAATCTGTTTTTAAAACCTCTTTTTAATATGTTATTTTATAGTCTCTCTTTGATCGTCTCAGCCTGAATAATGCTACTCAACGAAATCATGTGGGCGACTGATATGCTAACGTACTTTTAGGATTAAGATCAGGTGAGACTGAATCTATAAACACAATTTCTAAATATTGATTAATATGTACAGCTAAATATGGTCAAATAATATGTCGTCCAAAATGTTGCATTAGAAACAAACACAATGAATCCCAAGAAAAACAACCCGGATAAACGTTCGACGATATTTTTCTTTCTTTGGAGAAATTCGATTCCAGAATCAATTCAGTTGGTAAAGAATCTTCTGAAATTAATGAGAAAAAAGCTTCGTGTTTCGTATATGTGTCAGACGCCACCATACGTGCAAACATATGAATTATGGACATATATTAATGTGATAGCGAGTAAATTAAGCTGTGGTATTGTGTCACCATCTATTTGAGAGCAAACCCAGAATCTATAAAAATAGAGTTTGAAAGTGCCTCTGTTCTTGCAACTTATCTATTTGATTTATCTGTACGTTGTGGGGAGGGTCAGTCTTCTTGAAATTGTTATTTTTCTCAGGGAGTAACATGCCTTTGCTAGTTCTGTGAACATCTTTATGCACAAGACCTTCCAATAACCGATATTTCAAAGGCCACCCTCCTAGGTGGATTTCGAGAAAATATTTTCGTAAAAAATTCGCAGCTTAATTTACTAGATTAAATTGCTTAACTACTTAATTTAATATATATATATATATATATATATATATATATATATATATATATATATATATATATATATATTATATACTTAATTTGATATATATATAAATATAAATATATATATATATATATATATATATCGTTCTGTTCAAAGCGATATATATCTGCCTACAGATACAAATTGATAGATATATCTACGTATACGTGCATAGATATATATTGCCTTTAATAATATATATCCTTTGTTCCTTTATCTATCTATCTATCTATCTATCTATCTATCTATCTATCTATCTATCTATCTGTCTATCTGCCAGTCTCTTCCCTACTCTCTCCTCTCTCTCTCTGTATATATATAAATATATATATATATATATATATATATATATATATATATATATATATATATATATATATATGTATAAGAAAATGGAAGTCACTATTTAACAAACAGCTATTTTTCTCTGTATGTATAAATATGTTCATAAATATATATATATATGAATATAAATATATATATATATATATATATATATATATATATATATGTGTGTGTGTGCGAAAGTGAGAGATACTATTTAACAAATAGCTATTTTTCTATATATGTATAAGTATGTTCATGTATGCGCATGCATATATATATATATATATACATATATATATGTGTGTGTGTGCGTGTGTGTGTGTATATATTTGTGTTTGTACGTGTGTTTATTTATGTATGTATAGGAAATATTCCTATACATTCACATACGTGTGTGTTTATGTAATTGATGTTGAACATGTCAGTATTTGACATAAATTTATAATTGTTATTCGACCGTTAAAGAATAAATCAAGTCTTGGCGAAACAAGTGAACGCTTACTTAATAATAAATCGCATTGCTTCTTCCAGTAAAATTAAGAAATATCTATTTTCTTGCCCTCAGTTAAAACTTTCGTCTGAAATACAAGTGGGAAATAAAAAGACAAAAAAAAAATATAATTCATATTTAGGCAAAACCTTTAAAATATCCAATTAGATTTTTATTAACAAAATGAAATGGAAAGAGAAAGAAAAATAACGAAAAAAACATAAATGCAGCTCCATTTATAAAATCAATTCCAGACTCAACTATGTTAGATATTTTTTTTTACTTTTCTTCAGGGTCAAAGTGAACATCAGCGTGTGATTCTTATTTTTCATTATTCTTTCATCTTTTTCATTCCATTTTCCTCTTTTTATAATCCTTATAAATTCTTTTCTTTCATTTCTTATTCGTTTCTTGGTTTAAAACTTCCATGTCGTTTTTCTTTTCAGATTTGCTTGTGCTATTCGTTGATTTTCTTTTTCAAATTGCACCCTTTCCTTGTCTTTATCTTTTCATTAATTTCTTCATTCTTGTTATTTTTCTTTTTGTTTTTCTTTGATTTTCCTTCGTCTTCTCTTATTTTCATCGTCTTCTTTTGTATCCTTTGGACTCATTTGAAGTTCTTCATGATCGTCTTCTTTGTTTAATATTTTCTTCAATCATTTTCTTCTTTTCTATTAGTCTGTTCTCCATTGTTCATCTTTTCACATTCTCCTCCTTCAACTTTCTACTCCTTCCACTTTCCCCTCCTTCCACTTTCTACTCCTTCCACTTTCCCCTCCTTCCACTTTCTCCTACTTCCCCTTTCTCCTCCTTCCACTTCATTCTCCTTCTACTTTCTCCTACTTTCACTTTCCTCTTCTTCCACTTTCTCCTCCTTCCACTTTTTTCTTGCATTTTCTCCTACTTCCACTTTCTCCTCCTTCCATTTTTTCTTCCATTTTCTCCCACTTCCACTTTCTCCTCCTTCCACTTTTTTTCTTCCATTTTCTTCCACTTCCACTTTCTCCTCTTCCACTTTTTCTTCCATTTTCTTCTACTTCCACTTTCTCCTACTTTCACTTTTTCTTATTTCCACTTTCTCCTCCTTCCATTTTCTCCTCCTTCCACTTCATTCTCCTTCTACTTTCTCCTACTTTCACTTTCCCCTTCTTCCACTTTCTCCTCCCTCCACTTTTTTCTTCCATTTTCTCCCACTTCCACTTTCTCCTCCTTCCACTTTTTTCTTCCATTTTCTCCTACTTCCACTTTCTCCTCCTTCCACTTTTTTCTCCCATTTTCTCCCACTTCCACTTTCTCCTCCTTCCACTTTTTTCTTCCATTTTCTTCTACTTCCACTTTCTCCTACATTCACTTTTTCCTTTTTCCACATTCTCCTCCTTCCACTTTCTCCTCCTTCCACTTTTTTTCTTCCATTTTCTCCCACTTCCACTTTCTCCTCCTTCCACTTTTTTCTTCCATTTTCTCCTACTTCCACTTTCTTCTCTTCCACTTTTTTCTTCCACTTTCTCCTACATTCACTTTCTCCTATTTCCACTTTCTCTTCCTTCCACTTTCTCCTCCTTCCTCGTTAAACTTTTTTCTTCTTAACATGATTTTTTTCCCTTGATTCTTCTTTATTTTCTTTTTTCATTTTTTCCTTATCTTATTTATTCAGATTTCTAAATTTTTCTGTATATTTTACGCCCGCTTTATTCGTCTCTTCTATCTTTCCTCTCCATTGTCCCTATTCATCCCTTTTACTTTCAACTCGATTCTTCTCTTCTCTTATCATTTTAATTTGACACACTTTTTCATACGTATTTCACATATTTACGTAACAATCATTTTTATTCTGTTCCTTATTTCTTTATTTTACGCTTGCGTTATACATCCAAATTAATACTTACAATCTAATTTCTTTTTATTATTTAGCAAAATATTATTCGGTAGCACTTTTACAATTTTTTTGCTTATAGGTTTTCCGAAACAATATGTGTAAAAATGGAAGGGCGAATACAGGAAAAATTACCAATTAAAATTTTAAAAAATATATATAGTTAACTCTTTGAGAAAATAATACCTCCGGAAATTTGAAACGGAATTAATGAAGCCCAGCAGCATTGACAACGTGGTAACATATAGGGAAAACAGAAAAATGATAATAACATCATATAATTAAAAACAACACAGAAGAAATGTCCTGGTCTCACAAAGCAATTTAATCGTATTACAACTCTTTCCGCATTAAAATTATATATACCTGCAGAAATGGAACATATACCAATATATATGCAATCATTACAAAATCCATCTCCACGCATAAAACAATAATGAACCCACTGAAGAGGAAGTTAATAAAACTATTAAAAAAATAAAGAATTTTTTTAATCGAATTCATTCCAAGAAAGCAATAAATTTACAATTGGCTAGTGGGAGTGGAAGAATTATAAAACAAAAACATTACTAAGGAGCGACAAGAATAGAAGCGTAATCAAGAAGACTATAGATTGTCACTGATATTGCATTTAAATTTTTGAAGATTAGAGTTGACTGGATATCATGGTATTGGCTGGACTTTTGAAAATAGCTTACTTTCTTCTTGAATTCAATAACAAGTTACTCTATTTCATAAAAGAAATCTGGAATCAAAAACGCCTTCCCAAAAAGTGGGGTTTATCTCGCGTTAACGCAGTATTGAAACGAAAAGTAGTACTCAAGACTCTCACAGATACAGAGGTTTCTCAATTCCATCCATTATGGGGAAAGTGTTTATGAACATTATATAAACTATCCACTAATAGTTTTATGAAAGTCAACTGGTCACATGTTTGGTTTTCGTTGTGGCAAGTGTAGTAAGGATGTCGTATATATCATCAAAAAACTTCAGTAAACTCCATACTTTTCTAACAGGAAATGTAATAAATCCTAGGTCGACCTCACAGCAGAATATGATCAATAGGAATTGCTCTTCGCCCGTTTCGGCCGTTGTACACTCCGGCCTTCTTCAGGTGGTTGGAATATCGAACTGAACCCTTTATTTCGCTCACTGGGGTAGACTGTTCTAGTTCAACGTGCCATGTTTAATGGATGTCAGTCATCAGTTATCTCCTGTTAATTTCCCTCTGAATGTTCTCCACTGCCTTAACTGGGTATTGAACTCACAGACTTTGTGTCCTGCCACTGGATCTAACTAAGGCCTTTATCCACTGTGCCATGTCTCCTCAAGCGAAATAAAGGGTTTAGTTCGACATTCCAACCACCTGAAGAAGGCAAGAGCGTACAACGACAGAAACGCTGTAATAAATATGGCGATAATGATGAGGACAATAGTCTGAATAATGTAAATAATGTACATAATACCTCATCTCAGAAATATAGAGAGATATCAATCTCAGACTATTTAATCTTCTGCTAAACTAAACATAAATCATATAAAAGCACAGATAAAGACATTTAACCATTACGTTATATCCCAAAGGAATCGACCATATAGAAGATAGTAATCCCGCTTTCCCTCCCGAGTCAAATGTACTAATGATGGGGAAGGGAGCTATGCTGAAGACATGGCTATATATATATAGGTGTTATAAGAATGATTTTGGGCAGAAAACAACATCCTCTACTAAATATTCTAAGAAAATGACTCACTATAAAACACTCCAAAATCTATGAAATGGAATTGAAATGAAAGCAGTGATTGCATATACACTTAATCCACGATAAAATTTAAGGATGTCAAATCAATAAATGCTAAACATTAAAATTTAGTACGGGAGATAAGGAAATTGAACATAAATTAGGTTTTTGTAGTTGTAGTTTGCTCGAAACTACAAATTGGTATAGTAATTAAATCATAACATGAAAGCTAGAGGTATTTTATTAAACAATCTAATCAGTTTGAGACTTTCACGGAAAATGGTTAACAATTTCCAAAGAGGATAGAATCCAGGTAGAACTCAATGTGCAGGACAGAGTAAGAATATAATATAAAAGTCTCAAACACTAATATTCCATGGTTATAATTTATTACATTGGAATCGAATTGCGATCCAATTCATCAGACCTACAAATTCAAAAAGTTTTAGGTCTGATGAATTGGATCGTGATTACGATTCCAATGTAATAAAATATAACTATGGAATATTAGTGTTTGAGCTGTTCACACACACACACACACACGCACACACGCACACACACACACACACATATATATATATATATATAGATAGATAGATTGCTGAAACTTTATGCATTCAGAAAGTAGGTGTGTTCAGTTAGTGTTCGAAGAGCGATTATATATATATATATATATATATATATATATATATATATATATATATATATATATATATATACATGAATTATTCACACAAAACTAATGCAAAGGTTAATGATTTTAAATTTTTTCATTACCATATTTGGTATAAACGCAAACATTTTAAAAAAAGAAATTCAAAAATCAAACTCAGCGTTGCTTTGGCGCGTTCAAAAACCAATATCTCATTTTCAATAGAAAAAAACAAGAAGAACATCTATTATATACCTGAAGATGTCTGTATGAACAGACGAAAGCTTGTGTAAAAATAACAAATAATACGGCAGAAATTTATATGAACAAGGATCAATTCATTCATAACGGATCTAAGGTTTTTGTGTAATATTTGAATTGTTTGCGAGATGGATGTCTCGCCATTTAAAATCATTAACCTTTGCATTAGTTTTGTGTGAATAATTCATGTATTTGTAAATTGATTGCACGTTTATTGTAATTTAAATAAGTGATCCATGTGCGACTTTTTGGTTAATAAGTGCGACATTACTGTAATTATTGAACAATATAGTTCATGCCACTTTGACAGTAAAATTTACCAGTAAAATAATTTGTTCATTACCATATTTGGTATAAACGCAGACATTTTAAAAAATTCAAAATCAAACTCAGCGTTGCTTTGGCGCGTTCAAAAACCAATATCTCATTTTCAATAGCATTTCGGATACAATATACATATATTTTCGATATCCTCTTATTACTAAGAGAAAAAAACAAGAACAACATCTATTATATACCTGAAGATGTCTGTATGAACAGACGAAAGCTTGTGTAAAAATAACAACTAATACGGCAGAAATTTATATGAACAAGGATCAATTCATTCATAACGGATCTAAGGTTTTTGTGTACTATTTGAATTGTTTGCGAGATGGATGTCTCGCCATTTAAAATCATTAACCTTTGCATTAGTTTTGTGTGAATAATTCATGTATTTGTAAATTGATTGCACGTTTATTGTGTATATATATATATGTATATATATGTATATATATATATATATATATATATATATATATATATATATATAAATGGACAAAGACACCGCATGTTATTTGTCAATTTCATACTTTAATGGAATTTTCACACCAAGTACAGTGTTGCTCCCTAGGTCCACACAGTACGTATCTATCTATCTATCTATCTATCTATCTATCTCAATGTATTCAATATCTCTATCTATCTGTCTGACAGTCTGCCTTTTTTGTCTATCTATGCTATGGGGATACACACTCAAAGTGCAAAGTAAATTTCAGTATTAATTGTTTATACGTTATCAATCATTGAATATATTATAAATCAATCAATAAATATATCAATAGGAAACAGCTGTTGCTTTCTAAAGACAGCTTTTTTCGCTCACTTTTCCAGGCATTTCTTTTTACTCCTGATGATATTTATATTTCTGCCTTGAGCGTAACATTCCAATTCATCCGATGAGATTTTTGGCTTTCAGGAATTTAAACTTAAATACTTTAGTTTTCTTCTTAATTCAATTCCTCAGTCTTTCTTTTCCTTTCTACTCTATTTATTAATCTCATACTTTATTGTATTTGTTGTCTCTTTCCTCTTTTGCTTCTTTTCTATACTAAAATTTCATATAGGCAGTGTTAGAAATCGGTAGATAGAATTGACAGATAGTGATTGTATGTGTTACGAACAACACACACACAAACACACGCACACACACACACGCACACACACACAAATATATATATATTCTGCATATCTTCATTCAATCATGTTTGGTTGAATAATCTAGACATATTATGTCAATTTATTTTATTTTAATCATTCAAATTCACGTATCAATTTCTTAATGTTACCATTAAACGCATTAAGGAAGGCGTCGTAGTTTTTGTCAGTCCTTTTATTTTACCAAGTCCTTTCAATCTCATGCATTAATTTTACCAAGTACTTTCAATTTCATCATCTTCAGGGGCGAATTTCTGATGAAAAAAACAAACTATTTCACAACTGGCTATTACATCAGATATATCTTAGCAATTCGCCACTGAAAATGATCTTGGCTGTGATTGAAAGTACTTGGGAAAAGAATAACGAATAAGAAAACTCCGCCGCTTCCCTTAATGAATTTAATGACAACATTAAGGCATTTGAAAAACTGAAAAAAAAAGACAACAAGTTTTTCTTCAAGGATCAAAACTCGCACTATGGATGAACAGGAATTTAATGCATATATTATGTTTTCTAGCGATGGATGTCGCCAATAATCGCATTGATACTTCTGATTAATTCTATGTGTGATTATTCTTTGTATATATATATATATATATATATATATATATATATTTGAAAGTGCCTGAAAACCATACGAGGGGTTGAGGGAAGCCTTGTGAGTGTAACTGGGTAGACGGAAGAGTTGGGGCGGATGTTGATGGTTGCACTAGCACGAAGTCACAAGTCATCGTGACCGAGGGTTTGAGATTGCTGGTGTTGTTCAGATTGTTGACCATGCTAGATAACACGATCTCTCCCAGAAACTGTAACTAAAGTCTGCTCTGCATAGTTGCCGTATAAACCACAGGTTCGCTCTGTGGGTGTTGAACAAACACAAATGTGCCTGAGCGAGAGTCTGAAATATGGATTGGCTAGCCACCCTAGTAGACAGGCATCTTCGAATACGAGTGGACAGCTATGATATATATATATATATATATATATATATATATATATATATATAGTGTTTTAGTGAACTCGGCAATTTTCAATCTGCTTGTCTGAATCATCTTCAAGAAGCGAGAGCAAGATCTAAAAGGTCAGTCAATCTAACAGTGATCTCATCTCAGAATCCTCACACTTGCTCCATCCATATGTGGCCTCCTTTGTAAATCACTAGCGGGTCTTAAATGCCAGTTAAGATTATCGCACAAACTTTCATAACTAAATCAGTCAGATCCTCATACGTCGAAACCGACGGGAGAATCCATTATATATATATATATATATATATATATATATATAATCATTAATTCAAACGTCATTTCTAATGGATACCAATATTTGAGTTGTCGTTTTTTAAACACTGATTATTTATTCTACCATCTCGCGCACTTAAAAATAGTTTACAAATAAATGTTCATATTAATATGTCCTCAGAATGGTGGGTGTTCTAATCATACCGAAGATCACATATTTTTTTTATTTCGCTTTCTCAAGTACGCAGGCAGATAGATGAAATAAACGTACATTTTTGTTCGATAATATTTCTCGATAATAAATATAGTGTTTTAAACCAGAACGACAAAACAAATACGGCGATCTGCTAAAGGATGCTGAGAATAACATGGATCGTTCATGCTAGCAACTACCAAATTTTATAGAAAATGGAAAATAAAAAGGGCACTCATCAAGAAAAGTCATTTGAAATTTACCCGTTTCATAATGAGGAAAGATGTCTTGGAGAATTTGATACTCCCAAGGTTGAATGAATGCATGCAAGACAAAGGAAAATACCGCATAATCTACCTACTGAACTTGAGTAAATAGATGGTGGATGATCTTTTAAAAGCAATAATAAAAAGACAAAATTTATTAAAATCTGCAAAGGACAGGAAAATGTAAGGATTCATGTTAGCCAACATCATAAAGGAACATAGCTCCAAATCTGGGGCTGAATTTTCACTAACGATAAATATTCTAGCTTCTTTTGAAGTACAATGCTTGGTGTTAAAATGGTTGCTATATACATTGACAGCCTTGATAAGAGTCAACGTCTTTTTGCTTCTTTTCTTTTTTTCACTTTGTCATCCATTCTTAATGTTTATTCCTTTTATTCCCCTTTACTTAAATCCGGTGTCTCCCTCCTATTTCATATTTAATTTATGCCGCATCCACCTTCACATCGCTCTAGCTCAACTTTTCTTCACTCGCCAACATCTTTTTTCTCTATATTGATCTGAGGACTTGCTCCTTATCTCACTCCTTTTCCTTCAACATCAGTTTATTATCTTCTCTCATTAATACTTTTTCCAGTTTTTCATTCCGTCCGATTTCGTATATTCCTTTTCCATCTTCCGCCTACCCTTTTCCTCATCGTCTTCTCTCTTCCCTTTTTCCTCATCGTCTTCTCTCTTCCCTTTTTCCTCATCCTCCTCTTCTGTCTTCTTCTTTTCCACCTCCTCTTCTTCCTCCTTTTCACTATTCGCTTTTACATTATCCTCCTCTTCTCTCTTTCCCTTTTCAACCTCCTCCTCCTCTTCACTTTTTCATCCTCCTTCTCCACCTCTTCTCTCTTCCCTTTTCTCCTCTTCTTCTCTCTTACCTTTTTCTTCCTTTTTTTCTCACTTTTCATTTACCTTCAGCTCCTCTTTTCGCTTCCATTTTCATCTTCCTCTTCTCTCTTTTACCTTTTCCTCCTCCTCCTCCTCCTCTCTTCCCTTTTTTCTCCTTATCCTTTTCTCTCTTCCTTTTTTCCACCTCCTCTTGTTCCTCCTTTTATCCATTCCCTTTTACACCCTCCATCTCTTCCTCTCTCTTCCCTTTTTCATCCTCCTGCTCCTCTTCTCCGTTCTCACTTCACTTTTCCTCCTCCTCTTCTCTCTTCCATTTTTCTTCCTCCTCCTCCTTTCTCTCTTCGCTTTATCCTCCTCCTCCTCCTCCTCTTCTCTTTTCCCTTTTTCCTTATCCTTCTACTATTTCTTCCCGTCATTCCCTACTTCCTAATTCTTCGTTGTCCATACACCCACTTTATTTCCGACCCTCCTATAATTAATCTCCCGTCCCCTTTTTCTTAACATCCACATCCTCCCACTCCACCTAGACCTCATTTTCTTCGACTTCGAGCTACGGAACTTCTGCTTTTACTTTTTTTTTTTTTTTTATTTCTGCTATTTTTTTTTATTTTTCAATTATTTTCTATTTTTCTACATCTTCGTCTCCACATCCTTTATTTTATTTTTTTTAAATATACTTCCACTCCCGGCTCACATAAGCCACTTCTAATGGTCTCTCTATTTTTCTTCATCGATCCAACACGTAGCCTGAGAGTCTAGACATTTTTAATTCTATTTTCCAACAACAATCTCAGCAAAAAAGTCCATGATATTTAACTTCACTGAGATCCCAGGTCAACAAGGGCATTAATCAATTAACTGAATGTCCTTACACCTCTAAGCTTCATTGGCCCTGGGCCTTCGATAAGCCTCTCCGACTGTGCATATATATATATATTTATATATATATATATATATATATATATATATATATATATATATATATATATATATATAGAGAGAGAGAGAGAGAGAGAGAGAGATGTAGGGGAAAGAATGTTTGAGGAATTTAAGGAGAAAAATATGTTTCCAAGGTAAGGAAGTAAATGATAAAAAATAAACAATTTATTTGCTGGCTGAGTGATTTCGAAATAAATACCGAACAATCTATCAAATATCGCAGATTCACACACACTCATACAAATACAACAAAAGATGCACACACACAATCTTATGCAAATTACTTGAAACAAAATGAATAATTCCGTTATTATTTACATTTTCTCGTATTTTTTCAATGAAACATGACGCAGTGGACATGTTAGTCCATTCCACGAAGTCCTTCCTTGAAGATTGACCACAGATATTCAACTGGATCAAAATCAGGAGAGTTTCCGAGGCAGTTGATATTTCTTTGATTTGCTCACTGGTAAGGATTGCCAGTGTGTTCGGGCAGCGTTACTCTTTTTGTACGCTTCCTTGGAGTAACGTCCATCGCAGACAAAGGCCGTATGACAACTAATCGATAGTCGAGACAATGTGTCTCGGCGTGATAAAAATCTGATAAAATCACGGGTGATACAATATTTTTCAAGGCCAAACAAATTTCATGCACTCCTAAAATAGATTCATATTACTGCACACCACTGCAAATGACCGAAAAGATAGATATCGATTACACCCTGTCAATCTAAATCTGACCGTATGGTGAAAGAAAGTTAAGTAAATTTGTTTCAATTAATTTGCACAAGGGTCTACATACACACACACACACACACACACACACACACACACACACACACACACACACATATATATATATATATCCAAGTATATAATTGGTATATATATATATATATATATATATATATATATATATATAGAGAGAGAGAGAGAGAGAGAGAGGGAGGGGAGAGCAAGCCTATATGGACGCTAACCCCAAAGGTCATTGAGAGTGAATGGAAAGGAGTAAGAAATAGTGAGGAGAAGGACTATAAAAGAACATTATAC